AGGAGTTGGGGTGCTTCACTGGGCTGGAAAAAGTTTAGCTACATCAGAAAGCAGGTCTAATTAAGCAAGTTTATTCTATGTCTATAAAAGGCTAAGTTGACTTGTGCATGTGCTATACATATAAAGCTCTCGCAGGCGCCAATCACACGCGTGTGTTTCCATCTGTCATTGTCCATCGTGAATTTGGTTGACACTTCTATTATAGAGAAAGGGTGAACAGCAATATTAAAATATTTCTTCTAATTAATTTCCTTTCAATGTGCACAAATTTGTGCACCGGGCCACTAGTATTAGAATAAAAGCTCATATGATTCAAACCTGTCTCTGATTAATTGGCTCAAGTAGTGACAGGGACCCATTGATTGTCTGGTTATACTCTGATGTTTTCTATTATATAATCTATGCCATACTTATTTTCACCATGTGTGATATACTCTGATATTTCCTATTATCCTCTACTAGAGGCCCGGTGTACGAATTTGTACACCAGTGGGGTCCTTTGGCCTGGTCTGTGGGATCAGGCCGAAACCGGCTCTCCTACATCCCCTGAAAGGTCCTGGATTGCAAGAGGGCACAGGCCAGGCTGAGGGACCCCACTGATGCACCATCAGGACTGGGGAGGGACGCAGGAGGGCTCCAGGGCGTGTCCAACCCGTTTTGCTCAGTCCTGATTGGCTGGACCCCAGCAGCAAGCTAACCTACCAGATGGAGCATCTGCTCCCTGGTGGTCAGTGCATGTCATAGCGAGTGGTTGAGCAGCCTTAGCATATCATTAGCATATTACTCTTTGATTGGTTGATGGGACGACTGGACACTTAGCATTTTAGGCTTTTATTATATAGGATGCTATCTCAATAAGAAGTGCTGGCAATACTCAATAAATTCATTGCACAACCAATCCACTATTGAGCAATGACCTGAGGTCCAAAAACTCCAGACTTCCCAGGATTCACTGGGCTCCCTGAGTCCTGTTTCCAGCTTCCCCCACCCCTCAGTTTCAGGGCCTGCCAACCTGCCTCCAAACCACGTGCCTTCCTTTGCATGGGCTGCCCTCTCCCAGGTGAGGCGGGCACACCAGGTGAGGGCTTCAGACCTGCAGGCTGGGCTCCAGCGTGTGCTCTCCCAGAGGCCCAAGTCTCCAGGATTGCTGAGCCAGCTAGGTACCTGGAACTCCTGGTTCCCCCTGCACGGAGGACCCAGTGACTGTCCCATGGGGTGGCTGGGGAGCTCCACCTGTTGAGAGGTCACTATCATACCCACAAAAGCAAACACCATTTTGGGGCAAAATGCAGCCTCTCCCTTTTCCTGTCTCTTCTCAGGTTTCCAAG